CATATTTTACTGTATCGTCACTGCGCATAGCCTAACTGGCCCAGAGTGACTCCTGCATTTTTAAGTGGAGTTTTTCCCCCATATTTTACTGTATCGTCACGGCGCATAGCCTAACTGGCCCAGAGTGACTCACCGTATTTAGTTCTTGAACGTTGTTCAGTGATCATTTCCTGTATCCAATTGGTTGTCTGATTGGCATATCGCAGATTATGACATTGACACTAACCCAACATCAGTAATCAACATTCAGCGTGAGATATCAATCATGAAGCTCAATAAGTCTCCTGGCTCGGATTGTTTGAACCCCACGCTCTTCAAAGAAGGTGGTGAACAGTCTGACAACCATACTGCAGAAGATTTGGAACGAAAACATAATATAAGTACGATGGGGCTCCTCGTCCGTCATCCCAGTTTTCAAAAAGGGAGCAAGAGCTTCACGTGAAAACCATCGTGTTATCAGCCTGGTATCCGTCGCATCTAAGTCGCTCTGTGGCATTATTTTGGACAGGTTGATGGATTATCGGGAGCGACAGATTCGTGAGCAGTCAGACCCGTACTACGGGTAGTCGTGCTAAGGAGTGGTCTAGGGGGTAAAGTCGTACTGTCCTTTGCGACAGGAGTGTGAAGACAGTAAGGTGTTTCCCCCAGTTGACCAGCACGTCCATATTTATGGAAGTAGTGATGCTACCTTCCCTCGAGGAAGGACGTGTTGGAAAAGGTCGACCCTAAGATCCGCACAATCCGATCGCCCAACGGTTGACCGTGACCGCCGGCGCATTATCCAATTGTTACGAATAGAATATCGATTCTGATTGAGCGCGAGAACAAGAATGAATGGCGTAGAAAGAATAGCGCTTTACTTGTCTAAGAACAGACGTACATAAGCTGAAAATAAAGGCGAAGGCATGGTTAATACGAAACGATAATGTGAGCACAAAGAATATTCATGACACCAATACGGTCGAAATACTTTTAAAACCAAAGAGCCCGATGCTACTCAAAAGGCACCTGCTGTGCGCAGCCACATCAGGGGTGAGACAGTAATGTCTTATCCCCTGCGCCAACTCCCTGCAGCGAGCAGGTCAGACTGTTGAGTCATCGGCTCTGGATAGGGTCCCCAAAGAAAACCCTGCTGTGCGCTACCTCGTAGGTCAGACTTTTAAGTCAGAGGCTCAAGATGGGGTACCTCAACCAAAGCCCCTTCTTCAGCCTAAGCAATCGGGAAGTATCATTTACCCGCGCACTTCAGTGTCCACCGATGTCTCTCCCCAACCCCTTCCCACCACAAGCAAAGTCGCCGGGTCATTTGGCTGTCAAGTATCTGACCGAAGGGCCTTATACTCCTCTCTGCCTGCTAACAGTAAACAAAATAACATCTAAATCCACGAAATTCTTTCTATGTGGGAGCTTCTAACGTGTCGCTGAAGCACGCATACAAGACTCAAACATGGTTATGCATCTAGAAACGCCAAGAATAGACTTAGCTCTTTCACATTTCTCCCTCCGTATGTCTGGTAATCCAGAAGCGGTGACTCGTGGGATGTATGATGTGGGAGTTGCACTCAGTCCCAGAGCTGAACGCGCTTTGCTGGATTGTATCCAAGTGAACAGCCGTCTTTGCACCGTCCGGATATCCAGTTCAATCAAGCCCATTACCTCTCGAAATAAAAAGCGGCACCTGTTTGTAGTGTCGGCTTGTGACCCAGCAGACTGCAGTTCTGATGCTGAGAAGGATACCTTCTATCGAAAGTTATCCGGGCTCATTCATCAGGCGAAAAGCACTGACACTGTGATCCTTACATGGGATATGATTGCTCAAGTAGGCCGTCTTAGCTCCTTGGAATGACATTTGGGCGGTCGGTTCGGAGTAGATGCTCGCCGCACAGACTCTTTCAGTTGTGTACTGACCATGAACTGTTTCTGTTAAGTACGAACTTTCAACATAAACATTCGCATCGTGTAACCTGGCGGCCACCAACTGCGAATCAACCATGGACCCAGTTGGATCACGTAGCCATCAGCACACCAATTGATTCTGATCACACAGTGGTGCGTGCACGCCTGACAGTTCGTTTCCCTTCAGGTCCTCGCAAGTCAGCAAGAACCATGCCAATCCACTATCTTCGAAGAACGACGATAGCTCAACAGTACCGACCTGAGCTAGCCCAACAACTTTTTGCAGTGAACCAATATTGTGGTAACAGTGAGCATGTGGATGAAGCGTGGAAAAATGTGAAAGGAGTTATGTTAGCGGCGTTCACTGCTGTCTGTCCGACCTCTCCGATTCGACCACAAGACCACTGGACGTCGACGAGATCGCTATCCATGATCGATGCCAGGAAATCCATACCAGCAGGCAACTAGTACGACGGCGCACGCAAATCCTTCAAACACCAAATATTGAAGAGTCTAAGGAAAGACCGAGAGCTATGCTAGACATCGAAAGCTCGGGAGATGGAGAAGGCTTTTGCTTCGGGAAATAGTCGTGCCTTATATCAACTGATACGGTTGACTGGCCCAAGGAAAGCAACGGTCAGCGAACCGATAAGTGAAAAAGATGGCTCATTAATTTATTAGTCGTGCCTTATATCAACGGATACGGTTGACTGGCCCAAGGAAAGCAACGGTCAGCGAACCGATAAGTGAAAAAGATGGCTCATTAATTTATTCGCAAAAACGACTGGAAAGATGGGCCGAATACTTTGGAGAACAGTTCAGCTGGCCTCCTGCAACACGGCGAATGGAATGTGGGCATTGGTCGTCTTTCGGAAGAAGAAGTAGAGTACGAAATATCCGTGCTAAAACGTGAGAAGGCAACTGAACCGGGCAGTCTGTATCCAGCTTTCCCTGACGACCGACCCGACAAAACTTAATGGTGCTATATAGAAAGCGTTCAGCTGTAGCACCCTTCCGGTGCCTAACTGCCATGCCACCCGAAGGAACCACGAGGGCTGGGATACTGTCAAGTTGCCCAAACCTAGACAGGGGAAGTCGAGAGGTGGAGGTCGGATTCGAACCACGGACCTTCCGGTCAGTAAATTCGCGCTCTAACCACTTAGGCCATCTCGCCCCATTGGTGCTATATGGAACGAATAGAAGGTGCCTGCAGAACGGGGCATCTTCAAAAGAGTACGCGGACGCTGTGTGTGAACCACCGTGGCATCAGTAATTATCTGTAGTATCGGAGGTGCTCCCTGGTCTTATCCTACGAAGGTTGACTGAACACGGAGAGACAGATCCGTGAAAATCAAGCTGGGTTTCTTCCTACAAGAGGATGCATCGATCATATCTTTACCCTCCGACAAATTCTGTAGCAGCGACACTGCTTCCAGCAACCACAGCAATGATTATTTCTTAATCTGAAAGCTGCTTTTGACTCTGTAGACCGTCAGGCACTATGAAAGCGTCTGCGAAGCAAAGGTGTCTCACATAAATTCTTAACCTTCCCTTAGGCGCTGTATGCCAACTCCCAAGGCCTTGTGAATGTCAGTGGGCAGCTGTCGCCTGAGTTCACCACATTAAGTGGTGTCACACAGGGCTGTCCTCTTTCACTTTTACTCTTCAACTTCGTCATCGATGCAATTATGGAAGACTCACTACTTGCCTCTAATGCCTGTGGGGTCGAAGTGCTCCTTAGGTGTCCGCTTACAGATATCGAGTATGCAGGCTGTTGCGCACTCGAATGATTGTGCCAGAAACAGAGAACGAGGATTGCCGAATGATTGGCTTTAATCTTCTATCAATTTCAGTACATCAGCTAAAACATTAGGAAACACAATTAGCTCAACGAGTAGCGAGTAAAAAGTTAAACACAACGTCAATATATAACATTCTTCCCCGCCGGAGGGATTATTGTCAGGAGAATATAAATTAGGCTTCGCGGTTTCGAAGATTATACGGTCGAACACGCTGTTGGTCTGTGATGTACTGTAGGACATTCCCTGGAACCTCACTGGGTTGTTCTGGTGGTGCCGTTTCGCCTCCAGGAGGATCAAGCGAGTGTGATTGAGTCTCGTCTGGAGGAGCCGCT